AGTACACAAAGCAAAGCTCTTTAGAGATTCCTGTATTTATCAAATCAATAAAAGCAGAAATTCCTGCTTAAAGAAGACATAAAGTTCCATTAGGCGTAGGATATTTTAATCCTTTTGTCGATAACATTGACCCGATGTATTCCCAAAGATTCGGGTCCCGTTCTGATATTGAATGTCTGGTATTAAGGCATTATAACACTCAGTTTCTATACTCGCTACGTTTAACACGGATTTTCGGGACGAAAGATAGTTGCACAGTATTTTCGCCTGATTTAACTTTCTACAAAATGCAGTTGATAAAAATTCGTGTCGACAAGTGTATTCCTAATTTTCTTTGGTACCTTTGACGGTTTCTTACCGCCCAGCCCGACCCCCCTGGGACACGATTTCACCAAAGGCCGGCCACGGACCACCCGTGATAAACGTGGAGGTCAGACCAACTCTCGTTCTCTCCGCCTTCTAATTCTTCTTTACCATGTTATGTCAAATCATCCTATCACTCGCCACATTCCCTCCCTATCTCTCTCCAGCATCTCTTTCCCCCAAATCACCTTCAACACTTCTTTCCCTCATCAAACTTCCAACACCCTCTCTCGCAACATCCTCTTTCCACATCCTTTTCCCACATCCTTTTCCCACATCCTCTTCCCACATCCTCTTCCCACATCATCTTCCCACACCTTCTTCCCACATCCTCTTTACATATCTTTTACCGCTTCATTTCCCTGCACATTTTCTCCCGATATCTTCTTCTAGCATCCTCTTACACCAAATTATTTTTCCACACACACTTTCCTCAAATCTTCCCTTCCCATGTCCTTTTCAAATATCTCCTCCCTCCTTCACCCCCCTCCCCTTCTCTCTCTCTCTTTCCCTCTCGTCATATCCATGCCCCCCATGCTCCCCACATCCTTTCCCCAAATCTCTATTTCACCATATCATCTTGACACCCTCTCTCCCCACACCCTCTCTCACAACACCTTTTCCTCACACGCCCTCACCACATCTTCTTCCCTCACTTTCTCTCTCCATAAACCCTCTCTCCCCACACTCTCCCCATACATACTCTCCCAACACCCTCTCTCCTCACACTTTCTCACCACATCCCCACCCCACTCCCTCAACATACTCTCCCAACACCCTATCTCCTCACACTTTCTCACCACATCCCCTCCCCACTCACTCTCTCTCTTCCAACATACTCTCCCAACACCCTCCCTCATCACACTTTCTCACCATATTCCCTCCCCACGCCCTTTCCACACACCCTCTCTCCCTCTCTCCCATCCTCTCCACATACCCTCTCTCATTACACTTTCTCTCCCCGCGCTCTCTCTCCCCCAACATCCTCTCCACATACCCTCTCTTATTACACTTTCTCACCACATCCCTCCCCACTCCTTCTCTCTCCTCAACATCCTCTCCCAACACCCTCTCTCATTACACTTTCTCACCACATCCCCTCCCCGCGCTCTCTCTCCCCCAACATCCTCTCCACATACCCTCTCTCATTACACTTTCTCACCACATCCCAACACCCCTCCCCACTCCTTCTCTCTCCTCAACATCCTCTCCACATACCCTCTCTCATTACACTTTCTCCCCACATCCCCTCCCCGCGCTCTCTCTCCCCCAACATCCTCTCCACATACCCTCTCTCATTACACTTTCTCCCCACATCCCCTCCCCACGCTCTCTCTCCCCCAACATATCCTCTCTCATTACACTTTCATCCCCTCCCCACGCTCTCTCACATCCTCTCCCTACCCTCTCTCATTACACTTTCTCTCCTCAACATCCTCTCCACATACCCTCTCTCATTACACTTTCTACCACATCCCCTTCCACATACCCTTTCTCTCTCTCTCCCCAACATCTCTCTCCCAACACCCTACCCTCTCTCATTACACTTTCTCACCACATCCCCTCCCCACGCTCTCTCTCCCCCAACATCCTCTCCACATACCCTCTCTCATTACACTTTCTCCCCACATCCCCTCCCCGCGCTCTCTCTCTCTCTTTTCCTACAGCTTTTTCCCATCCACTCTTTCCACAACCTCTACCCACACCTCTTCCCACACCTCTTCCGATATCCTCTCTCCCCACACCCTTTCCCCACACCCTTTCCCCACATCCTTTCTCTCGGCTCTCCTCGTTCATCATCTCCATCTCCTAACAATATCGTCAAAATAATGTTCGTGCTGAAATGAAATATAATCGACACGAACTAACACTATGCCCATTGTAACCTTGAAACACACAAGACATTTTTCAAATGATACCACCCTTGGTTTTTAGGATCGAACAGGTCTCCTCTTAAACTGGTTTATTATTAATTATTCAAACCCAGGTTTTAAAAGTAACATTTAGCTACCGAGAAACCCATCTATATTCATTTCATACCAAATCACTCAATATTCTTATTTTTTTTAAAGAAAAAAAGTATCACATTTGAAATTCTAGTAGATTTTAGATCATGTGATATAAATGCAATTTCTTACATTTTTCAAAGTTTTATAATGAAACAAATCGGAAACAAAGCAGAGCGCTAAGTTTTTTAAATAGATTGTCTTGGATTGATGAAAGCTGCGAGCTATTTTCGCCTTTCTCATCACAACATGTCTCAACATAAAGGACTAGATGTTAACACAAGCCAGTGGCAGGGCAGTACAATGAAATGTCATTAGGGCCTATTTCATCACCTGGGCCGGTGTGTACCTGTATCACAGTTATCGTTTGTGGAACGCCATGATTGATGAAAAAACATCACAACTAAAACTCGACCCAAAATAACAGCAATAAAACTAATGACTCATTATTGGTAACAAGATATTTGTTACAAGTAAAAATAACTGAAAAGTCACCCAGACCCCACACGGAAGTTGGTGTTGGAAAGGAGGGGGAGGGGAGAGGGGAGAGGCAAGATATGTATCACCTGCGCAAGAGCTTATAAAGACCGGTTTTTATTTGAAAATAAAAATCACAACAAAAATGGCACAGATAGCAAATATTGAAATGCGTTTTTTTATTTGAAAATAAATGGAGAAGAATACATTATAGTAAAATTGAAAATGTTTTATTTGAATTTAATGGACAGGCGACACTTGGCAGGAAAATGAAAGTCTTTATATAAATTTTAATGTTAAAGATAGCGCGAATTTTTATGATGTAATGGATAGGAGTTGACAAAGTGATGGAGAATATCAATTATTTATTTATAAATAACTGAAAGGACATTGACGTATAAGCCAGCGAAAGATGTATGGCGTAATTGAAGATATGTTCTGAGTGTTCATTCACACCTATCAATTATCTTTAATAAAAGGGAATATTGACAATAGAGATTAAAAAAAACGTGATATTATCTCATACGATAACCTTATGACGTCACATCATGATATAAAAAATCATTTTGAAATTTCAATTTATTTTGAATTTAGAGATTAACACTTGACCGTTAATTGAAGATATTCTGGTTATTTTCATTTCGTGAAGTCCGACAGTGTGGAAAATTGACAGCAGATGTTAACAGCGTCGGAATAGATTTCAACTTGTTTTGTTAAATCTCCTTAATCAGTGTTCCTTAAGCAGAATTATAGAAACATAATACATGTACACGTACTTATAATTGATGGTACATGCTCTTGTACTAAGAAATGTCGAAATTATTTATGAAAAATTAATCTTAGGAAACAAATCTGACTTATGGAGATCCTTTATAGTGAATTGATATAAAAATTAAATCGAGATCCATCGGTAACTGAGGCGAATGTTTAAAACATACGGTCTAAGAAATCCTCCACCTTGTACAATCATTATGGTATACATAAACACTGGAAACAAGTCAATGTTTTTCGTTCAACACATAGAAAAAAAATATGCTGTTTTAATAGAGTGAATAGTATGTAGAGTCTTTTATCAAGACTAGAAAGGTTCTGATGTAGACTGCAATGACCCTCCGGTGTTGTTAGGAGGTGTCCCTGAGTCAACAGTGTCTAACCTCCACTTATCTGCTCAACTCACATCAATAATTATGCTGACCTTGCAGCGTTTATACGAAAATGGAAACGAAGTTGTGATTTCCATATCAAAAACAAACACAATGGATGGAATATTTCATTTAATATCACGCGGGATATTTCCAAGGGGAAAACCCCAAACAAAAGACCATCCGATACGATTTTAAAAGCAGTAAAAAGGCTGTTACCGGTTGCTCGGTCCTGTGTCAATATCGTCATCGACTTATATTAAATGAAAATGAAAGGCAGATATTACTAGCAGTGTAAGGGAGGTACTCCGCCAGTGTTTGCTACGTCTACCGACGTAATAGTAGGGTTAGGTACATGGATTGTAAATAGGCAGCTGGGCCTGTACAGTAATATGAGCGTATTATGTACTTAAATTACCTGTAATGGGTCCTTGCCTTATAATTTATAAAAAGATCGTCAACCTTCCTCTATTTACAATGACAGTTTACCAGAGTTTGCTTTCTGCCGATACACCGGTAGGGTCTAGAGCCGCCTGATAAAACGGACGTTCTGATTGGTCGATATAGTAAGAGTAGGCGTGGCTTACAACTTGACATTGATCGCAAGGTAAATACAGCGTGTGTGCGGTGTAGCGCCGAGGACACAACATACATATAGGCCTTACAAACCATTATAGAATGATGTGAAGTAACGACAATTATAAACTTGAACGGCACAGTGTCATACCACCGATGTATCATAACGGAGATTTGGTGATATCATCAGTGAATTCTTAAAATGAAAGTACGTGGAAAGCAAAAACAGATTATTTAAGATCTCACCTGTGACGTTCAAAAGCTTCCGTAGGATTCAATGAGCTAACTTTTGGATTAAGACTTGAACGGATTACAACCAGCTGGAGAAGGTGTGAATTAACCATTCGGTGAGTAGTACATCTAGTTAACAACACCTGGTCAACGTTTCGTGAAATATGGACATGTCCAGAACATTTTAAATTACAACACATTCGACATGGACGGTAGGTCTCTCTTGGTGCTGATGGTTGTCGTAACTGTGACGTCATGTCTCGAGATAATGTATAATATTGAAGAAGAACAAGATAAGGATTTTTACCTGGGAAATGTGGCTGCGGACGCACAGCTAATTACAGGTAACAATTCTAATATAGAGTTACGATATAACCTCCTCACTACAGGAAATCCCGAAGCCCTCCTTTTCCATATCAACGAAAGGACATCTTCTCTCTACACCGCAGCCGTCCTTGACCGCGACACGCTCTGCCCTTTTACTTCAGCTGATTGTATCCTTAAATTAGAGGTCACGGCTATTTCTCCAATAAACGATTTCTTTGAGAAGATAAAAGTGCACGTGAGATTACTCGATATAAATGACAATGCACCTACATTTCCGGAAAGTAGGATTGACATGGAAATATCGGAAAATTCTGGTCCAGGTAAGTCTTTTCCGTTAGATGGAGCCACGGATGAAGACACCGGACAAAATGCTGTCCAGAGTTACAGGATCGATACAGACGATGTTCCATTTATTTTGGAGACGACAGATTTCGCCGATGGTAGAGCATTACTTAGGTTAGTTGTTAACCAAGAACTTGATAGAGAAACAAGAAACAAGTATACTATAAATATCGCAGCGATTGACGGGGGAGACGAACCAAAAACAGGCACCGTTACGCTTAATATTACTGTCACTGACGCTAATGATAACCCGCCAAGATTTCCGAAAGCTGTTTACAATCGGACTATACCGGAAGATATCGTGCCAAATAGTGTGATTTTAACATTCAATGCGACGGATCCAGACGAAAGTGAAAATGGACGTGTATTATACCGGCTTAGCTCCCATCAATCGGAGGAGATCAGAAGACTCTTCAAAGTCGGCATGACAACAGGGGAGTTAAGCGTTATCGGTTCACTTATTGACGAGAGGACCAACTCCTATAGAATTATTGTTGAAGCGTCTGATAACGCCTCTCAACCATTAATCTCTCAGACGCAGGTCTATATCAGTGTCCAAGACACGCACAACAACGCACCAGAAATCACTGTCAATGTACTCTCACAAAGCTACTACGCCGAGGTTTCGGAATCCGCAGCTGTCGGGACTGTTCTAGCCATTATATCAGTTAAGGACCCGGACAGTGGACAAAATGGCGTGGTCACGTGCTTGATAGATGATAATAACTTCCGGTTGGTCGCTGATGGATCTTTTGAATACAACTTTGTGTTGGATAGAGTTCTTGACCGGGAGATGAAGGAATGGCACACTGTTAATGTGGAATGCTGGGATTACGGGACTCCAAGGTTAAATGCGAGCTCAAGGATCTTGGTTCGGGTCCTTGATATTAACGACAACCCTCCACAGTTCACCAAAGCCATTTATTACGTGAATGTACCTGAAAACGATGAAGCAAATAACGGAATTCTACAAGTGCAGGCTACAGATAGCGATAGTATCGTGCCAAGCAGTTATAATTATTCTTTATCGGTGCCTGATGAATATAAAAACTTCTTCAGAATAAATCGAGATAGTGGTGTGATAACGGCAGTCGTTTCATTGGACAGAGAGGCCACTCCTCGCATTATGTTCAAAGTGTTCGCAGAGGACGGTGGGTCGCCTTCATTGACAGGCAGTGCCCTAGTGGAGGTGAATGTTATTGACAAGAACGACAACTCTCCAAGATTTACCCCAACTTCATTCGAATTCGTCATACCGGAAAATCAGTTACCGAATTTGTCAGTAGGTAAACTTACAGCACACGATAGTGACGCAGGAGAAAATGGTAGAGTGTCATTCTCACTTGCGTCAAATACTGACATTTATTTACCTTTTGACGTGTTAGATAATGGCACTATACTGGGAACTCGGACACTGGATAGAGAGCTGGTCTCTAGCTACAACTTCACTGTCATTGCTTTTGACCACGGGTCACCATCCTCGACCAGTAAAGCTAACGTCACAGTCATCATACAAGACATCAACGATAATGCCCCCATCATCACATACCCAAGTATTGGAGGGGACCTTCTATATATACCTTCCGACACCCTCCCCAACACCATCATCGCCACCATTAAAGCTTACGACAACGACGATGACATCAACGCAAAACTGTCATACTTTGTACAGACTAGCAACATGACTAAACTATTTACTGTCAACAAGTTCACAGGTCAAATGTCATTGTCTCGCCAGGTTAGTCGTTCTGATATTGGTACCTATGACCTTTCAATTCTAGTCCAAGATGGCGGCCAGCCCCCTAGGTCAAGATATCGCTCATTGACCGTCATAATAACAGATTCCAGAAGAAATCCAACAGAAGACCCGTCGGTTAAGATTAAATACTTCGCCATTGCTATCGCTATTTCATGTGTGACCATAGTTCTTTCAATTCTAATAATTCTAGCGATTTGTCTCATCCGAAGGAAAGACAGACAGCGGGACTCTAAATACCCGGAGAGTGTGTCTACAAACTCAACAATAGACACGGTACCGGAACAAAATAATCCGGATATCAAGGTCAATGGGATTTACACAAGGGAGGCAATTCAGAAATCGCTCACTGACACTCTGCCGCGAAATACCGACACCTTTCCAGGAACAGACACCTGCCCGCGGGGAATCGCTACACTAGAGCGGATCAAGAAGACGGTAAGAATTATCACTGGTATAAAGAAAATTTCAACAATTAGTTGTCACTTGTGAATTGAGAATTCGTTTTCTAAACTGAGTCAAGTGTTGACATTTGTTAAACGAAAAACGACACTGACAAAACTGTTTTGACTGATTATACCACGAAGTTATTTACCAGTTCTGTAAGATTGCTTGGAAGCAGCAGGTTTCTCTCTGAAAAATAAGAATTGACTTCTACATTTTCTTATCAGTGTCTCACAGATACTAACTCATACGAACTTGAATTTTACCGATATCAATATCCATCACTATACTGACTCCCACACATAGCCCCTTATAGCCAGAGTTGTCGAATAGTGATACGTAAACATTGAAGGAAGACCGGAATTGTTTCTTCCATCAAGGTTTTAGCGAAAAAAGTCCCGCCGGGAATAATGACTTTTTGAAGTTTATGTTGCTCCGTTTTAATTTGTAGACCCCTAAACACTTTAATTGCTCCCGTGGTGACACGAATTTCAAAAGATTTGTCATTTGTGCGTGGGATTACGAGTCATTGCCTTGCTCGAAATTTTAAAATCAATTTCAAATTCGTTCAGAAACAAACTGTTCTAGTGAAAATTTTAATTAGGATAATCCAATTTTACTAGCAAATGTGAATATCTCAAGACCTGTGTTCATGTATCTTCTCAAGTCATTTAATTCTAGAAAACCAATTAAGCTAAATTGATACTGGAAACCGGAAAGACAAATTTTCAAAAAAACGACGAGCCCTAATATCACCGTGATACAAAATGGTCTACTTACGTATTCCAACAATGTCTTATTGACATCCCATAAGGGATCTGGTTTTTTTCAACTTTCCTTATTTTAATGTGTTTATTTCATGACAATTTTCCTAATTGGGCACAATTATTGCCTATTGCTAGTTGGGGAAAAATTGATTTTAGAAGATTTAAATGTTTTACCCTAATTAAAGAAGGACTGATTGGCGGAAATTGAAATTGTCAAGAGGAACTTGTATAAAATCGGAACATGTCGGAGATTCCTTGTTTTAAAATATGTTTTCTTCAAATTGGACATAGAAGCTTTTAATGGGAATACTTACTGTCGGAATGTTTTTACCATCATGTTCAAAATTCTATTTACATTTCCAAGGTAAATGCTATAAACATAAACAGGAAAAAACACCAAATCGTATTCATTCGTCCTTGTGATGCTGTTGGTTGTGAATGACTAGTTTTGTAGATGTTATACGACTGTTCGATATTTAACGATGTACTTAAATAATACAACCCTGCCGTTAACTTAAGTATAGTGTGCTCATTCCTGTTTCACTAAACCAATCGATCAAACAAGCCAGATACGAAACAAAGGCTAGCTTTGTAGGTTTTTGTGTTTTGAGATGGTAAACAACAACAGATGTAATGAAGTGTGATGTCTGTAATTGGGGGAAAATTGATCTGGACAGTGCGCATGCGTTCTCGCACCTTCTACCGAATGATACGGCCAGGTACTGATGCTGAGGGACGATAAAAAACTAAGCAAAAGTAGGTTGACCGTACCAATATTATCCGGAATTCGATCACGTCTGCACGCAATGATTATAAATTCATTTTCTTTTATCTCCCCTCGATAATAAAATGTCGATAAATTAAGTCAGACTGTAAATCATTTGCAAAAATAATGCTAATACAACACTCTTTTCTGATCTGAAATTATTTGTTTAGAAAGTTTCTTTTTTATGTGAGTGTTATTGCGGCATGTATATTAGTGCAGCTCGAAACTATGTTGAATAATTCATATTCACACCAGTACACATATACACGTGTAGTCTTTACGGACAGAAAAAGTCCGCGATGAATTGAAAACAAATACATTTACCCCTATAATAATGATTAGATTTCTGGGGAGTTCACTAGGGACTGAAACACCCGGCCAGTAATTCCGAAATCTTGCTTTCACGACCCAGTGGTACAAGCCCCTATACCATAGTGCATTGTTTAATGCTCGCATTACTTTTTGGCTGATCAAAAGCATTTCGACAGCAGAACGTTATTTTCTCTTAAGTTTGTTTCGAAACCTAAAAAACGTGCGATAGCATTTATATAGAATTAGAAATAGATATCAACTTTTATAAGCTTATTTTCACCTGTCCAACTCTCACACATGCAAACACTAACTTGAAATAAATAAATTTCGGAATTCAATAAGATAAAAATTATATTTTAATTTACAATTTCTTATTAATTTGTCTATAGACGATGTCTTCAGGTTTCTCTTTGCTCTCGTACGCTCAATATGGTCATAGTTCCCGAGTCCCTTGATTGCGTTCCGTCTCTTTGAACTTCCCGACCTATTGTCGGGTTCCTCTGCGAGATTTGTCCCCTGTTTGAACTATCCCCATACCCCTGCTATACAGATACAACGCGATGATACCGTAGGATTCATTAGTGACCATATTGTAGATGCGATCCCAGTAATGGTCAAGGTAATGGTCAGTGTTTAGGCCTTATTGGCCGGAATTATAGATAATAGAACCGCGGACACATACACCTCTAGATTCTAGACAGGTAAATTGTCTAGATAAATGGACGAATCAACGTTTCCTTAGTATAAAGTGATATTTTTATCCACACGCGCCGAGATCATGTGACATTGAGCTTCGTTCTGCATTGATTGTTCCGTAATTGAATAACTCGCCTGGTCAAAGTTACCATCTCCACAGACAGTTTTCATCATCATGCCGATAATGTAGACATGCACACAACAAAAGGTTGTATACGGGTGTTTTTCGTCGCAAAAAACAACAAGAACAATAACAACAACAACAACAGCAACAACAGCATGCTTGACCTTGTGTGATCGGGAGGCACGGTGCTACGCGTTTACCTTTTACCTATAACGCCCGGGGATCGATCATCCAAAGTAAAAATGTAAAGGTCAAATGGCTTATCTGGTAGGTCTTCTCCTGGATAATCCTATTTCCTCGCGCAGAAATCTTCCGCTTCTGTGTCAACATGAGTGATATCAGCTGATACATTATATAGACTTATTCTGTAGAATTGCTTTGTATGCACCTTAATATAATAACAAAAAACATTGTCATATGTATCGTATCCAAACATCAACTTGTACTTAAGTCAGATTTCTGTTATACATGTACCTATAATCGGTTTCGATGATTGCAGATGTTTTGAAATGAGTTATTTCCACAGAGGTGATGTTTAACACAGACATTTGTTATAGACTGGTTACTTCAAAAGTATATGTTTGATATGCAGATAACCTTTATAGACAGGTGTTAGTTATAAAGAAATGACCTTTATAAACAGGTGTTATATAGAGATGACCGTTATAGACAGGTGTTAGTTATATAGAGATGACCTTAATAGACAGGTGTTAGTTATATAGAGATGACCGTTATAGATAGGTGTTAGTTATATAGAGATGGCCGTTATAGACAGGTGTTAGTTATATAGAGATGACCGTAATAGACAAGTGTTAGTTATACAGAGATTACCTTTATAGACAGGTGTTAGTTATATAGAGATGACCGTTATAGACAGGTGTTAGTTATATAGAGATGACCTTTATAGACAGGTTTTAGTTATATATAGATGACCGTTATAGACAGGTATCATTTATATAGAAGTGACCTTTATAGACAGGTGTTTGTAACGGTGACTTTTATTTTGTAATGTTGACGTTACCGTCCTTCACAGGTGTTGCTATGAAGAGGTGATCTATATACTGTTGGCCATCGAGACACCGAGGTATATAAAATTTGGGTCATATTTTGAGACGAAAGAACGTTTCATTTTGATTATGTTTCTTAATTCAAAATCGATGTTTGATCATAGTAACCTTATATTAAACGCTGTTACGTCACGTTTGGTTTTTCTCCCAGATTTCACTATTCATTTATCAGAGTTCAAAACTAGAAAAAAATTATGGCAGAGTATATGTTAGATATATAGATATATACGATTATAATAATTTTCCCTGTGCGAAATTACGTCTGCAAAATCATTCATACGTTATATAACATAAAGATTTTAAATATATTACATCAAGATATGGCGTTCCCTATCGTATATAAATAAATCGAAAATTGTATAATGCGTGTGTTGTGTAACGGCAGAAATATTAATTGACACGCGAATGCGGATTTACCGTTTGAAATCATGTAGAGTACGCACTTTCATCCATCATAAAGGACATTATGGCTCCACAGGGACTCGCCATAATCGTTCACTAAACAAAAACTATTCAGATACAGATTCATTCAAGACAGAATTATTGAGAAGGGTACAATGAAGATTTCCCTACGTACAAGTTCGTGAGGGCAGCCATCGTGTTTAACACGATTGAAGTGATGTATTCAGTTTTATAAGCCGTTGTGCTGTTCAGTCTATAAAACTAATTAGAATGGCCATATGAATTAAATTTCCGCGAAACTTCAATTTTAAAAACTTTAATTTCGTTCACATATTATGTTAAACTTATGTTTCCCTTGTCTCGTATATGATAAAAGCGTTTAAAATGTTTTTGAAATTAATCATTAGTTTGAATGAGAGATCATTACTCTGGATATGAGAAAAATATCATATACCTATTTAACATGACTTTCCATAACTCTGGGTCTCTTGTGTTGATATCAATTTCATATTCCTTTTCATCGTGGTTTTTATATTAGGGTAGATTTATGCTAATTAGCTTCCCTTCAAAGGGAGAGTGGCTCGTGATTGGTCAACCGTGTATCTCTGATATTGTGAATAGACCGAATTCGTCTCAGATTACCTCCACACCTACATTCTTTTTCGCAAAATCATACAGCTTGATATAAAATCCATACCTTTGTATTTATTATCAGATGTTTTAAAAGATCGTTTGAACGTTTTAGATATAAAATGTATGACAGAGTTCAAGGTCAAATTTCAGCAAAACACGGTCCGAAAGTCTTGATCGATTAACACCATTAAAACTGTACATGTCAAATATTGATACGCTGGACAATTTTAAAATGGCTTCTGTATCTTATCTCACTTTTTATCGACCGTATTCGTCGAAGTACTCTACCAGCATTAGACAGGAGAAAAGTTAAACGAGCCTTAAGTCGGCCTGGAATTAGCTATTGTATGGCGTTATTAAGATAAGTCGTGCCACAAAAGACTCGAATGCCACCGATAAGTGGCGCTGATGTCAGTCTGAATGAAAGACAAATCCAACATAAGTGGACGACTACACGAAAACAGCATAATTATTAGAACTAAGAGACGAACGTTTGACTTCAAAATGACACCGTTTAAGTCTCCTACCTGACGGGCAGGTATATTCCTATAGTCGTGAGAAATTAACTGAAAACAAAATATCCAGGTAGATATAGGTGTATACACAGCATTTTCTAAAAACACGTAAATGTTCTTTTGAAAACTTGTTATATCCCGCACGCGTAAATGCAAAGGAAATTATTTTTGCCTTGAAAGAAGACTTGTCGACAAATTGTCTTCATTATCGACTTATTTGCTGTGTTTAAAGGCTCTAGAAAATGGATATTTACGTGACGCATTGTGATGGATTTAAACAGAAGTGTTCTCTAAATTAAACGGGATATTTTACAGAAAACTCTTAAAACCTTTTCATTAGGAACGGGAGATTCAACACCCTAAAAAGAAGGTTTCTTCTCCGCGAAACAATTAGAATTTTCACGCCTGTCATGAACATGAGAGACAAGAATTGTTTCTGTTTTACCATACAATTTTGCACAATAGTCATGTACAAAGATCAAATTTAGATTTCCTGTGACCGTGGAAATTGTACAGTAAACAAGACAGCGAAAATCAACTTTTCCTGTTTGCCGCGTCTAGGTTCGGAAGAAGTTGTACTTTGGGAGAAAATTACTGATAATGTTTAATTTAATTAAGAACTTTCTTATTGTTGATTGTTGTTTGACTTGGCCTTGTAATCCAGTGGAATTGTGGGTAATTATACTGGAATTGTGGGTAATTTGCTAAGTCTGGTTCTCTAATTGTTCTATAACTGTTGCGGCACTGGCTCCAATTCTTGAGAATTTTTTTCTTTCTGAAAATTAGTTTTCGCTATTGTAACTTCATTTATATTTGCAAAGTGATAATTTGTTTAATCTGGCCTGTTTACCCGAATACACGCGCATATTTCAGTCTTTTCATTTCTCGAATATGGGCGTAACCAAAATTTTGCTACTACAACAATGTATGCACGCTGACGTCATTTTTACATTTGATTATCTACAATCGAATTTCTGTTTTTACTTTAAACAAAAACATTTTTTCCAAACAAGAGCCTTGTCATGCTATTTTCGCTTCATAAAAAAACCTGTTCCGATTGAAAATTTTGAACTTTAGACGAGAGAAATCTGTGACGTCATCGCACTGTTCCTTATGACGTCACAATGGAAGATGAACGAATCCAAGAATTCTGATGATGACGTAATTACATTGAATAAGATTCTGTGAGTTTGATTAATGTCTATAAATGTTTATATCTTAAATAATGTGACACGAAGAGGACCTTTTCTCGGTTTTTGATGTGAATTTTATAATGAATTGTCAAGTTGAGAAATAATGAAATCACCGAAGCTCTAGACAGATTCATTCCCCACTGGTTTCATGGTTTTACTGCATGGATGGAACCTATTGAGCTAGCCTAGATAGGTCTCTACCAACCCTGATTTATCGACAGAAATAATCCATATATATATAACTTTGTCAACTTACACTGCCTGCTTACAAATTGTTCATCAGCTTTAAAACGCATATACAATTGAACAAAAATATGTTTGAACTCTATAACGCTCTTTCAGTTCAGTTTATTTATTTCTCACTACACGTTTCCCGGCCAATTGTTATTGGAATCTTCTTCATGAAGTTGTAAGATGGAAATCAAAATCGATTCTTGGCTGTTTCGTCAGCCATGCTGACCAGAGTACAGAGTATGGTCATTGGGTTATACAAAGTCCATCTGTGTCTGTCGGCGACAGCGAGAACAGTGTCTCTTGGCACCTTAAGATCTGAAATATCACACCAGGTCAGCGACATGAGTAAACGGGAACAGAAAATGGATTGGTGACGTCATAGTGTCCAAATGATAACCAACGTGTCTTTTGTTTCTTCTGAATTCGCCATGTTCCCCAACCAAAAAAATAGCTGTTTACCATGGTTATCACATACATTCATTATCATTAACTACGAAGTGTATTTCAAATGTCAAATGTCACATACCACCTTAATTATAGAACTTCCTGTAACGCCATCAATATTTTATTTTAGAAGTCTCCGAGCCGGACTCAGCCTGAGATTATTTCGGATTCCGTGGCCATTTGGGACTGGAGCGAACATGATCAACCGGTTGACGGTATGGGAGGAATAATTCGCCAGACCCGCCCCTCCCAGCCCTCCTACCCCTCTCATATACCACAGTCCTTCATTACACTTTACCCTGACCAGACTAGCTTCGAGCAAACGGCGGAGGTAAACTTATTTTTATAACAAATCTTCATTATATATACTTTACATGACTTCCTTTTAAGCTATCGTTTATTTATATCACAACTTCCGGTATATTTCACGTAACATGACCTCCCGTTTAATCCAGATATAACAGTACTTCCGTTCTAACTTTCTTTCTAGAAATATATATGAAAGGACTTCCTTTGTTAGCTTTCACATATATAATCAACTTCCGGTATAATATTTCCGATAACATGGCTTTCTGTTTAACCATGATATAGTACCTTGTATGCTCTTAACTTTTTATTCAATGTAAACTGGTTTTTCTTTTATAGATATATAAATTTCATTTTCGGTTTAGCAATAAACTTAGATGAATTCCTCTTAACTTTTACATATATGACGTAAGTTCCGGTTTAGCATTGAGCTGAACATACTTTCCTGATTAAGATTTCAATATCTAACACAAATACCGCTGTAATATTTGAACACAAAAAACGTGTGCACTCAGTGCAACCTGTGAAGGATAATTTTCGTGTCGAGAATTGTCACATCTTTAGCCATCAACAAGGAAACGACATGTCTGTTAATGAAACCTTATACACTATTTATGTAAGGTTTCTGTTTTCAACATTGCAAAAGAAAAAAAATGTGATCGAAAAAATTCTCGAAGCAAGAGTCAAATAATAGAAAAATTGAAAATTGCAAAGGTGACAATTGGTACAAAATATTAAAAGCAATATTTACATACGGTGTAATATAAAATCCATGGAACACCACTTAAGTATTCAACAAAATTAAATTTGTATGGTTACCTAGATGGCATAGTGGATAGTGTGCAATGGCATTTAATCGATTGGTGCAATTTTCAGATCAGGCGTGATAATGTTTAGGTCATTCAGCGCGATTTTATCCCTGCCAACAAGAGTGATTAATACATACAAACTCGTGAAATTGTTTCATAATTATGATAAAAGAAACAGTTTATTAACAGCAATAGCAGACCGAAGTCCGGAAGTTACTCATAGCGTTTAATGGACAATATTTATACAGAAAATTAACGAGTCGGTGTGTGGACAGGCTACACAACCTACAATACCACCTATATTCGTCATCTGTTTTCATACGTCAAGCTTCATAGAATGAACAGCCGTGCTTCATTTAAGATTTATAACGACCGATTAAAATGAACACCGAGACCGTTCGGTTGAAAAACAATTACACCAACAGGGGGAAATCAATGGAAAATCAAGGCTTTTTCAAACAGTTAAGCGATAAAATTGTCGTACAACTGAATAGGGACCAAAGAACCGAATCTACAAGTAATGGTATACAGCTGGTATTGAAGTAGAAATATACAAATGTTCTGTCTCGTACAGACATCATTCCATATGTTTAATGGGGAAATGATGATATACCACAAACAGATGATAAACACTTTTATTTGGTAATGAACGAAACAGACGGAAAGTGAGATATACAATGATGTGTTAAATTTTAAATTTGAAAACATTTATTTCAGAAAACCATAAAAGTAAAATTATATTTTAAAAGTATTTAGATACAATTTGAAGGCTTTGTATATACACTGTATACACAATTTGTTGTACAATCTATTGACGTCGGTTCCTGATATTGTACACTTTCCTCGAACAGCTAGAAATTAGTTGAGGGGTGGGGGTTAGGGGGGGGCAATTCAACTGAAAATCGTTAAAGTAGATATTCCCACTGCACTAATGCCAATTTTTGTTTTTGTTATAACTATTCATCGCGGAGGTAAATCGAAACTCTTATCCTTGATATTTTGATGCCGTAGAGATTTTTATCATTTGGTCGATACATCGTTCAGGATTAGAATGTCTAAGTCCTCATAATGGTTCGGTAAATATTAGCTCCAGCTGAATGTCCGATACAGCAGCCGAGTAGAAGAACCATCCAGACGGATCTTTGATCTCTCTTGGCACCTGACGTCTCAACGACGGCTCCAAATTGTACCGTCCGTTTACATAAGCCCCAGATGGCACTTTAAGTACTTTAGTTTCCCAATATTTACGTATAGCAGATTTGTTTACATGCTTTTGAAATAAAATTGCAATTTTTAAAGCACAATGAATGAAATGAAACAATGTATTCCTTAGTTGATATCATGTGACCGACGTATCTGCATCCGGGCTTTTTGTCAACATCTGTTCAATATACTTCCGTTCCTTAACATATTTAGGTAGGAGATTGCTTTAGTGTTTGATGTCGCGAGATTTATTGTTTTGTCATGTGACCCTTTATCTTTATGAGGATAGTACTCCTTTAAATAACATCGAAATATATTAGAATACGCCAACTTAAAGTTGTTGAAAACGTTTACTTCAAAATTCGATGCAGTGTTTAAGTTCTCTACGTGGTTTACAAAGGACAAAAGAGATTTAATTATTGATTCATTAGATTGAAATGTAAGCCTGTATTAGTTTTATATTTCAATAGGTCGAGTGTGTGACAGGAAGCTACGTTTGTTATGTTTGATGTTTCTTTTTCATTTCTGTTTTCTTAAAATATTCAAATGTTATTAAATACTAGCACAGTATGTGAATTCTTCAAAATCTTTGATTACGTAATTGCATGTTTAAACTTTCATGTCCAAATTAGTAGTGATGGAATTCGAAGTGAAAAAGTTGAAATAAAAATACAATTGTCCCGTAGAGAAAATTAAATGATATGATGAAGCTCATTAAACATTTTCTAATTTAATGAAATTTAAATTACACTCATTGATAAAACAAGTGATGAAATCACTCGACTAAGTCTTCTTTATTAAAGTTTATAGCAGGCCTTTAATTTGAAAACAGACAAATTGTTAGTCCGCACGTTTAAAACAGTGGTTGTATTATTATGTCAAGAATGAGAGCATTGAATTGAAATAAAAACAGTACCGAAATTCAATAATTTTTAATTAAGTACAAAGAGGAAACAGTATTGATGAAGCGCCGTCAATATTATGTGGATGCGTCTTCGCCAATTTGATAAATTTGTAGCCCCCCTTGTTTCATCAAATGTTCTTCAAATTGAGAAAGAAATGAAAATTGATGTTCAGATATTCTAACGAATGCTGATCGATAAAGCTATTACATGGTATCTTGTATCGTTACTTAATTCCTAATCATAATTACTCATGTTAAACACACAACAAAAAGTGTTATATTGATGATATCTGGGGACGTAGAAAGAAACAGTTATAAATTTTAACAGCCGTTGCAGAACTGTCTATACCTCTCCGGAGACGCGCTTTGACTCTAATGAATATGCATGTCTTTTTTTTCAGGTCGTGTGATGCGAAAGTAAATGACACAACAGAGGGAAAATTTCCACATTTAAAAACAACAAATTTGCATAATATTTGAACTTAGAGAATTTTTTTTTGGTAAAATATTACCAAAATAATTTCATTGCAAAACGAGAAATAATCATATACAGCGTCATTAAATTCGTACTATGACGTATGCTAAAGTAGTTAGTGACCCCTGGTGTCGGAAATATGACCAATGGCGACAGAGACGAAGCTTCTCCGCCGGATGACGATGATGTGGATCTTCTTTGAGCAGGCAACCTTTATCTGATGATCTGCCAAATCCAGGTAATTCTATGGCAACTAAACAAAGAGACTATTGCTCGGCTCTAAATGTTTAATACATGTTTGATACACGTATCGGCAAGCATTCTTTAGTGTTGGTTTCATTTCAATGAATACACCCGGCTGTAAATCACTTCACATTGTTTTCACTGTGCTTTTCAACGACCTGTCAAGCACTTCCGATATTCGTGTGAAGGTCCAATCGGTAGTCTGGTCTTTGGCTGTGCTGATTGGCATTGTGCTCGTGTCGGGGTCCCAATAGACATCCCGGTCTTTTATGACGCGGTCCCCGCATTATATGTAACGGTAACTTACTTATGCACGATCGGGGATCGTTTGATGAGCGTTATTTAATAAAAGCATAATCCAATATTTATTACAAGGCAGCATTTTGGCGTAAGTGCCGTGTTTTTGTAGAGTCTCGATATTATCTAATGCGTGTTACCGTTTTGTGTATCACAGTACCTCAGTTTTATTATATATTTATGACAAAAATCGCACATAGAGCTGTGAATAAGTTATTTCCCCAAACCGTTTATTCGCCGAGACTTTATGGTTGATGCGAGACTTAATGGTGGATGTTAATATGGTTTTATATATTTGTGACGATGATATTGACTTTCGATTTTAATTTACAGACGATAATGACATTCATGAAGTTGGCTAACATTCATGGCTAATATTCGCTAAGGAAACAATAAGGTCACCTGCGGAAAACCCAAGGTCATTCCCAGGACATGCCAAGGCCAGACCTTGTGTCATTGAAACGTGATATTACGTTAAGGTAGGAATATTAACAATTAAAAATAAAAATGTGTTTGTAAAATGACCACTGTGACAATAGGACGGTTATACAAGTATCTAGTGATTATAGGTCCACTACCCAGAACCGAGAGAGAAGGACTGAACTAATATTTTTGTGTTGTGTCCATCCGTCTGTCCTTTTGTCCGTTCTTTCTCTAATCCGGGATATTTCTACTTGTAACTGGAACTTCGTACTTGGGGTATGGATTCACCATGTGGAGCAGTCGTGTCATGTATCAAAAATAGGTCACGCTGTCCTACAGTTTGACCTTTGACATACACCAACTTCATGCTTTCCACACGGATATGGGTCCATCAAAATTTGGTCATTCTGGCCTATGTTTTGAATTTTGTCTCATCAAATAGTCACTATTTCTACTTTGGATATGACTTCAACGTTGAAAGGCGGTGCGTCATGTATCAGAAGTAGGTCACCCTGTCCTTTGTTTTGACCTTTGACCTACATCAAAGAAAAAAACTTGATTCGTGTGCAATTTCACATTCGGAAGGGGACTGTATTTCATCAAATAATTTGTTTTAATATATAAAAAAATGTAGCGTTTAGTTGGTCATTGTGAGAGGTGTAGAGTTCGTTTTAATGACATTTCAAATGTTGCAAACCTTATATAGAGTGTGTAACTTACGTACTTGGGTCGTTAATGGAACGATGTTGACACATAAAGAGATCCTTCGCCAAGCTACTAATCTTCTACTTGGAATACATCTGTCAAGTCATTATCTACCCTGGAGAATACAGGACAGTAAGGCAAAATAGGTATTTTTTTCCCAATAAACCCAATTTCTTTACTAATTGACAGACTAAAAAATGAGATTGGCTTAGGGTCATCTGGTAAACTACGACAGAGGATTTTTGATACGAGCTCGTAATTTATTGACAAAATCCCGAGTAAAATTTGCGTCTAATTATTTCGAAGTTAACGATAAATTCAAGGTTGTGGGTGCTAAAATACATTTTTTGAATTGACTGAAATGAAATGTTTTTAAAATTAGTTTCACCAATTATCATTTGAGATTTTGAAATTGAATTTTTTGAAAACCAAATGCGAAATAATGAGTTTCGTGTTTTTTGTTATATGTCGATAACTTGATAACATATATTGTTAAAAAGTTTGAATTTAAAATACGACGAAAAACATTGTTCATTTAAATACAATTACGTAACGATAATTTCGTCAAGAGAAAAATCAATTCGTACAGAGTTTATCTCAAGGTCTTCACCAAATGACCTTAGCCATATCAAAGGTTGAATTAGACCGACAACACGTAGGCATGTTAGTAACTATGACGTCATATACGTGTTAAGGTCATTGTATTTTGGTATTTTCAAACCTATTCAGTTTTTGAGATGTCACTTTAAGGACATCACTCTTCCGAAATTCACAAACAGAGAAGTATGTATCGGATGACATACTGCCAGGCCAAATTATGAAATTATAATTATGAATTATGTAATTAGTATAATAAGTTTTTCGCATCAGGGCATGTATGTTTTGCTTTGTGATTATTTCACAAATCACAATTGAAAAAAAAAAAAATGTCTAATTGTAATTCATTTTCGTTTGTTTGCAGTGGAATTCGCACAAAGGTTGCCATAGTTTCCGCCACGCGAGTTTACGGGGAGCATGTACTGCTGACGTCACCAATCCTTAATGCTTAGTATTTTTAAAAGTCGCCAGATTTCTTGTCACCATTTAAGGTCACCAGAACTCAGCGCCTGCATCAGAGACAAGAGACACAACTCATCCCGCCATTGTACTGTCACAGACAACGAGAAATACTTCTGACGTCCCAGGGTCAATAGGTGAATTAGAACTGCTGACGTCATCATCCGGTTACACAGCCTCGGATTGAGGTCAGAAACTGGATCAGGAAAAACAAAAAGACGATCTCACACAAAAACTACTGCCAATATCATTAATAGCATTGAAAGTGCATTGTGGAAGATGCACTTTCTGCGATATGCTCACCAATCAAATCATGTTCATCTTTTATTTATAAACACTCATGGAAAGATATTATTTTTCATTTGTATGTTCGCACTGCAAAATCAATATATATGTTTTGTTATTAATTTTGTTACAAACGTCGTTGATATTTTGTTATGATATAATTAGAGAACAGTTTTGTTATATAAAACTATTAAAACTATATGTCTCTGTTTATTTGTTTAATTCAACTAAATCTAGTGTAAAACACTAGAAAACGTCCGAGATATATGGTGAGATGACAGTTGGAAGTTCGGAATACATTAACATTAACATAACAGGGTTGAAAATGAAGCATGGCGACATAGCCAGGTCGTTTGAATAAGTTATAACGTCATATAACACGGGCATGAGAATCAATTCAGTTAGTGGCATAACACAGGGACCCGAGAAACAATTTCAACTTCATATCACAATTAAATCGTGATTATCATAACATTTTCTAAAATAGTTCCATACCAAACTGATGAATCATTTCCAAAGTATATATCATAGGGCTGTAAGAGTCAGTGTCAGGTATATATCACAGGGACGTGAGGGTCAATGTCAAGTATGTATCACAGGGACGTGAGGGTCAATGTCTAGTATGTATCACGGGGGCGTGATGGTCAATGTCAAGTATGTATCACAGGGGCGTGAGGGTCAATGTCAAGTATGTATCACGGGGTCCTGAGGACCAATGTCACAGGGGCGTGATGGTCAATGTCTAGTATGTATCATAGGGACGTGAGGGTCAATGACTAGTATGTACCACAGGGACGTGAGGGTCTATGTCTAGTATGTATCACAGGGGCGTGAGTGTCAATGTCTAGTATATATCACAGGGACGTGAGAGTCAGTGTCAAGTATGTATCACAGGGACGTGAGGGTCAATGTCAAGTATGTATCACGGGGGCGTGAGGGTCAATGTCAAGTATGTATAACGGGGACCTGAGGACCAAAGTCAAGTGTCTTGAAGGTCAATGTCTAGTATGTATCACGGGGTCCAGTGAGGGTCAATGTCTAGTATGTATCACAGGGGCGTGAGTGTCAATGTCTAGTATATATCACAGGGACGTGAGAGTCAGTGTCAAGTATGTATCGCGGGGTCCTGAGGACCAATGTCAAGTATGAATCACAGGGGCGCGATGGTCAATGTCAAGTATGTATCACAGGGGCGTGAGGGTCAGTGTCAAGTATGTATCACAGGGGCGTGAGGGTCAATGTCAAGTATGTATCATGGGGACGTGAGGGTCAATGTCAAGTATGTATCACAGGGACGTGAAAGTCAATGTCTAGTATGTATCACAGGGGCGTGATGGTCAATGTCTAGTATGTATCACAGGGGCGTGAGGGTCAATGTCAAGTATGTATCACGGGGGCGTGAGGGTCAATGTCAAGTATGTATCACAGGGGCGTGAGGGTCAATGTCAAGTATGTATCACAGGGGCGTGAGGGTCAATGTCTAGTATGTATCACAGGGGCGTGAGGGTCAATGTCAAGTATGTATCACAGGGACGTGAGGGTCAATGTCAAGTATGTATCACGGGGTCCTGAGGACCAATGTCAAGTATGAATCACAGGGGCGTGAGGGTCATGTCAAGTATGTACCACAGGGGCGTGAGGGTCAATGTCAAGTATGTATCACAGGGGCGTGAGGGTCAATGTCTTCTATATATCACAGGCACATGAGAGTCAGTGTCAAGTATGTATGACAGGGACGTGAGGGTCAATGTCAAGTATGTATCACGGGGGCGTGAGGGTCAATGTCTAGTATGTATCACAGGGACATGAGGATCAATGTCGAGTATGTATCACGGGGTCCAGGGGACCAATGTCTAGTATGTATCACAGGGGCGTGATGGTCAATGTCTAGTCTGTATCACGGGGTTCAGGGGACCAATGTCTAGTATGTATCACAGGGGCGTGATGGACAATGTCTAGTATGTATCACAGGGGCGAGATGGTTAATGTCAAGTATGTATCACAGGGGCGTGATGGTTAATGTCAAGTTTGTATCACAGGGGCGTGATTGTCAATGTCTAGTATGTATCACAGGGGCGTGATGGTCAATGTCTAGTATGTATCACAGGGGCGTGATCGTCATTGTCTACTATGTATCACAGGGACGTGAGGGTCAATGTCAAGTATGTATCAACGGGACGTGAGGGTCTATGTCAAGCATGTATCACAGGGGCGTGATAGTCAATGTTAAGTATGTATCACAGGGGTGTGATGGTCAATGTCAAGTATGTATCACAGGGGCGTGAGGGTCAATGTCAAGTATGTATCACAGGGGCGTGAGGGTCATGTCAAGTATGTATCACAGGGGCGTGAGGGTCAATGTCTAGTATGTATCACGGGGGCGTGAGGGTCAATGTCAAGTATGTATCACGGGGGCGTGAGGGTCAATGTCAAGTATGTATTACAGGGACGTGAGGATCAATGTCTAGTATGTATCACAGGGACGTGATGGTCAATGTCTAGTATGTATCACGGGGTCCAGGGGACCAATGTCTAGTATGTATCACAGGGGCGTGATGGTCAATGTCTAAAATGTACCACAGGGGCGTGAGGATCATGTCAAGTATGTACCACAGGGGCGTGAGGGTCATGTCAAGTATGTATCACAGGGGCGTGAGGGTCAATGTCAAGTATGTATCATGGGGACGTGAGGGTCAATGTCAAGTATGTATCACACGTGAGAAAGTCAATGTCTAGTATGTATCACAGGGGCGTGATGGTCAATGTCTAGTATGTATCACAGGGGCGTGAGGGTCAATGTCAAGTATGTATCACAGGGGCGTGATGGTCAATGTCAAGTATGTATCACAGGGGCGTGAGGGTCAATGTCAAGTATGTATCACAGGGGCGTGATGCTCAATGTCAAGTATGTATCACGGGGGCGTGAGGGTCAATGTCAAGTATGTATCACAGGGACGTGAGGGTCAATGTCAAGTATGTATCACAGGGGCGTGAGGGTCAGTGTCAAGAATGTATCACAGGGGCGTGAGGGTCAATGTCAGGTATGTATCACAGGGACGTGAGGGTCAATGTCAAGTATGTATCACGGGGGCGTGAGGGTCAATGTCAAGTATGTATCACAGGGGCGTGATGGTCAATGTCTAGTATGTATCACAGGGGCGTGATGGTCAATTCAAGTATGTATCACAGGGGCATGATGGTCAATGTCTAGTATGTATCCCAGGGGCGTGATGGTCAATGTCAAGTATGTATCACAGGGGCGTGATTGTCAGTGTCTATTGTATATCACAGGAACGTAAGGGTCAATGTCTAGTATGTATCACAGGGGCGTGATGGTCAATGTCAAGTATGTATCAAAAGGGCGTGAGGGTCAATGTCTAGTATGTATCACAGGGGCGTGATCGTCATTGTCTACTATGTATCACAGGGACGTGAGGGTCAATGTCAAGTATGTATCAACGGGACGTGAGGGTCTATGTCAAGTATGTATCACAGGGGCGTGATGCTCAATGTTAGGTATGTATCACAGGGGTGTGATGGTCAATGTCAAGTATGTATCACAGGGGCGTGAGGGTCATGTCAAGTATGTATCACAGGGGCGTGAGGGTCATGTCAAGTATGTATCACAGGGGCGTGAGGGTCAATGTCTAGTATGTATCACGGGGGCGTGAGGGTCAATGTCTAGTATGTATCACAGGGACGTGAGGGTCAATGTCTAGTTTATATCACAGGGACGTGAGGATCAGTGTCTAGTATGTATCACAGGGGCGTGATGGTAAATGTCAAGTTTGTATCACAGGGGCGTGATTGTCAATGTCTAGTACATATCACAGGAGCGTGATGGTCAATTTCTAGTATGTATCACAGGGGCGTGATGCTCAATGTTAAGTATGTATCACAGGGGTGTGACGGTCAATGTCTAGTATGTATCACAGGGGCGTGAGGGTCATGTCAAGTATGTATCACAATGGCGTGAGGGTCAATGCCAAGTATGTATCACAGGGACGTGAGGGTCAATGTCAAGTATGTATCACAGGGGCGTGAGGGTCAATGCCAAGTATGTATCACAGGGACGTGAGAGTCAACGTCAAGTATGTATCACAGGGGCGTGAGGGTCAATGTCTAGTATGTATCACAAGGACGTAAGGGTCAATGTCTAGTATGTATCACAGGGACGTGAGGGTCAATGTCTAGTATATATCACAGGAACGTGAGAGTCAATGTCTAGTGTGTATCACAGGGACGTCAGGGTCAATGTCTAGTATGTATCACAGGGGCGTGATGGTTAATGTCAAGTTTGTATCACAGGGATGTGATGATCAATATCAAGTATGTATTACGGGGTCGTGATGGGCGTGAAGTCAGGTTTATTGTATGGTCAGGAGAATCGCTGACGAGATATAACAGGGCCGTGAGAATCGCTGACGAGATATAACAGGGCCGTGAGTATCGCTGACGAGATATAACAGGGCCGTGAGAATCGCTGACGCGATATAACAGGGCCGTGAGTATCGCTGACGAGATATAACAGGGCCGTGAGAATCGCTGACGAGATATAACAGGACCGTGAGAATCGCTGACGAGATATAACAGGGCCGTGAGAATCGCTGACGAGATATAACAGGGCCATGAGAATCGCTGACGAGATATAACAGGACCGTGAGAATCGCTGACGAGATATAACAAGACTGTGAGAATCGCTCTTATTAAGGACCATGGAATACATCCTGCACAGGTATTCCAATCAGCACTTGATGTATCAATCCAGATTTCCAAGTATTTTAAACATGTCATAGAATAAGTGAAAAGAACATTTCTGAAAAGTGTCTCTTAGTGAAGACATGTGTTCATAGTACTGCAATTCTATTCATTCAGAGCCCTTGAACTCTGATCTTTACTTCATACCAAATT